TTTTGCATCAAAGTGGATACAGAATGTGGCGTGGCATAGGCTGAAAATGCAGGGCAGAGTCCTTGGAGAATGGGGGCCTGGAAAAAGGAGTTCATGCTCATGAGATCACTGTGCAGCCCAGTGCCAAGGGCTTGCATTTGCAGTTTGAGAGGCAGCTTCTTCTCCAGCTTCAGCATCAGCACCAGCATCCGGACACTTGGCTCCAAGCCCTTTCATCCAAGCATTATAATAATGTTACGTATTTTGAGCACATGAACATACAGATTGTTTTAATTTACTGTGTAAGTATACGAACACGCAGCTAGTGACCTCAAAGGAGTTTGGCTTTTACTGGTTAGTTAACAACTCAGTTTGTTTTTAAAATATGTTACTACAAGAGTTGCACACATGCAAAGAGCCAATGAACAGATCTAACAGGTTTATTAAACCTGATAAATATTGCAATCATACAAAATCTAAAACCATATTAAGCCTGTAAGACATATGGTCACTTAACATGTAAAAATCTCACTTAAACCTACAATCCCATAAAAGCTGTGAAAAATTAACTGATGTCCAAATAGGAAAATATAATCACAAATTGATTACAGTTGTTAAAACCATGACAGCCTCCCTCAGAAATTCTCACCCTGCATACTGTTACTTCTCATACCCATCCCACTAATGAATGCTCATCTCTGCTCTTAAAAAACCCTGACTCCTTATCCTGTAATATCCTGTATGAAAATATTTCTGCCTACAGGCGCAGCAATTTGTCAAGCCCCAGTCTAACTGGTGATCCTGATTTTGCTGGTATTCAAATGGAATTCTTTAAAAGTGTCCATTTTTCAGCAAATAGGCACTTGATCTCCTAAAAACATAGTGCTACATGAGTTTTCTCATTGCTATAAAGCAAACAGAGACAGCACTATGGCACCTGTCTGCACATTATGCAGAGAAATACACTCCCTATACCAACTTACAGATGCATGTCCCACACTACTCCAAAGACAGATGGCCAAATTTTTCCCTCTCAGATGATGAAACATATATAAACTGTAAATAGCTTTATAATTCTAAGGATAAAAAAAAATAAACAATAGAGATGTACACAACAAGCATTTCCTCCTTTCACATTCTCTTTACTTGGGCAGAAACTACTCCTTATGCTACAATAATTCTGCTTCTGGTATCAGAAAGGTTGCTACAAATTTTTCCTGCTCTTCTGCACCACAGTGGCTTCCTAACTGCATCTGTGCTGACTTGGAACTTGAACACCATTTTGAAATCTCTCCTTGAAGTTTATTATCATGTAGAAAAACTGGCTTTCTTTTTTTTTCAATCTCATATTACCTGAATTCTCTCTCTTGTTATAAATATCACAAGGTATTCAAATGTCACCTCATCATATGTTGAATTTCTGAGTATGGACATCACGTCCCTATTTGCACGTCAAACCAACAATGTGATACAAAAAGCCAAGGCTCGAGCCAGTGAGCCACTGATATCAATTACCTTGAAACAAACGGAAAAACCTTTCTCCAGTTCTGAGCTGACATCTACTGGTAGAATGTTGCAACAGTGCAAGAATCCGGAAACGCACAGCAAGCCATTTCAGGAAGGATCTCCAAGTGGTACTTCGTGAAAAGTTCTGGGGTTGAAAAGGATAAGAGATCCAAAAAGTATGTATTTTATGCAGTTTTGCTCCAAGTATAGTCCTATCAGGCAAAGCAAATGGCTGCTAGTGTAACTCTTCAAGTTTTGTATTTCAGGCTTAACTCAGAATTTTCTTAACGTGAAGACTGTTGAAATTCATTTTAAACAGATTTGGATTAGCTTGGATCACAAGGGGGAATAAACACATAATAGCCTGCAATCATGTTAGAGCAGTTCAAAAAGATCCTAGGTCTCAGCTGAGGCACAGTAATTAATAACACGCACATCCTCTAGCCAGCTGCAACACAGAGTCAGCCCAGTTTGCATAAAGACACAACTGAAGTGGGTTTAAAATTCAATTCATGCTGAAATAAACCACTACTAAATCAGAAAAAGATTGTTCTCTCTGGGACTTGTACCAGTGCAAGAACACTCCTTCAACAAAATCTTCTTAATTCAGTATGCAGATGAAGCCGCAAATGCATCTTTTCCAACCTCAATTTCTCCATAGTATAACAAAGAGACTGGAAGAGTGGGGAACATCCAACTCTTTTGATATACATGAAAGTGGTACTCAGATTCTTTGGAGGGAACCTTATGATGGCAACAGTGCCACATGTAGCATTTTAAATAACAAATTAGATCCCTAATTTATGACCAAATACTCAGAATTTTATCACGTGCTGCTGCTTTAGGCAAATACTAGAAAACTCAGTAGAAAAGAAACAAGTCCCTTTCTGATACATTCAAAGGAAAAAAGATGAAATTCGGACTCAGTATGCCGTTTTGCTTCTCCTGTTCTTTGCACCCCAGCTGGTTCTGGTAGCCAAACCGCACATAAATTTAGCACTAATATCGAGCACCGTTATCTTGGGGAATGCAAGACTATACTGAACAACCCAATCCTTTTCCCTTGACAATCCATTTAAATCACTAGCTCTGAAAAGGATGCTGAAAAGTTGGATCTAATATTTTTACATATTAGAAGAGCTCCTTTTTCAAAGTCAGTGGAATTTCTAGAGTTTGTGTTATTTTTCCATTCTCTCAGTATACCTAAGGGCCATGGGATGGGGAAAAAAACTGTTGTGTACTTGTACAAAATTATGTGTTAAAGTCTTATTCAGGGAAGAATGCACAACAGCCTTCTGCTACCTGAGGGTTTATTTTCCTGTGCAGTTTAAAGAGGAACTAATGTTTTCACAAGATACCCTCCCTTTCAAGCACAGATGCAGTCTCAGCGCAGATTTCCAGCACTGCTGGAAGAAGAGAAGCAAGCTGGCCATTCGAAGTGAATGTCTGATCAGAGAGAAATGACTGTGAAGAGGAATTGTAATCAGGCATGGGAGTAAAAGGAAGAACTTGGAAGATTAGGGGTAAGCAGACGTCCCTTACGAGCCCAACAAACACTGAGGCCAGGCAGGAAGCAAGGCAGCCAGTTGGACACAATTGTTTTGGGTAAGATGAAGTATCAGAAAACATCTCAAGGCAAAAAAGATTAGCAAGATGAGCAGAGACCAGGACACCACCAGCAGAAGTAAGAGGAATATCTCACTGGTTAACTGCCAGAAATAATTTAATCAGACATAATAAAAGAGTTTGGAAATTAATTTTCAGAGAAATATATGTTTGCCAGCTCCATCATCTCATAACATGTCATACGGTCCAAACCAAGATCATTCTGCAGTAGTGCCTTGGTTGGACACTTGCTGAAGGCTGAGTTAACAAAGTGTGAGATGTCTGTAGCAAGTGACACCACTCTAAATGGTGAAAGAAACAATAAAGGGCAACAAGACTGATTTCTAGGATGGACAAATTCTTCTTAACAAGTTTTCTGTACCTTGTATAGCTTTGTGTGTACAACTTTCCCAGTGTCATGTTTTTGGCTGGGATGGAGTTAATTTTCTTTGTAAAGGCTCATGCGATGCCATGTTTTGGATTTTGATGAGAATAATGGTGATAACACACCAATGTTTTTAGCTGTTGTAGAGCAGTGCTTACATTAAGCCAAGGACTTTTCAGCTTCTCACGCTATCCTGCCAGCGAGGAGCTGGGGGTGAACAAGTAACTGGGAGGGGACAGGACCAGGACCGCTGCCCCAGACTGGCCAAAGGGATACCATATGATGCTGTGCTCAGCAATAAAAGCTGAGGTGAAAGAAGAAGGAGGAGGACATTCGGAGTGATGGCGTTTATCTTCCCGAGACACTGTTACATGTGATGAGCCCTGCTTTCCTGGAAGTATCTGAACACCTGCCTGCTGATGGGAAGTAGCAAGTGAATTCCTTGTTTTCCTTTGCTTGTGTGTGCAGCTTTTGCTTTGCTTCATATACTGCCTTTACCTCAACCAGCGAGTTCTCACACTCTGACCTTTCTGATTCTCTCCCCTATCCCATCTAGGGAGAGCGAGCAAGCAGCTGTGCAATATCTAGCTGCCTGCCAGAGTTAAACCACAACACGTGAGTACTCTGGCATAGCAACTCATACTAATGTAGCCTTACACATAACTGTGAAAATGATTCAATGAGTTAAACAAACAGCATAGGGGAGTAATCTTCGGTGCATCCTTGCTTTGAATGTTGTGTGCATTTCTGGACTCTGTAATATAAAGTGGGTATTAAGGTCCAGGGGATGGTAGCAAAGCTGATAAAAGGGTTGGAGGGCATATCCTGTGAGGAGAAGCTGAGGACACTTGGGTTGTCTAATTACGAGAAGAGAATTCTGAGAGGTGACCTCATGGCACTCTGTGGCTTCCTGAGCAGGGGAAATGGAGCAGGAAGGGTCAGGCTCTGCTCCCTGAATGCAAAGGAATGGCACAATGCTGCACCAGGGGAGGTTCAGACTGGACATTAGGAAAAACTGCTTTACTATAGGGGTGGTCAAACATAGGTACAGGCTTCCTGGAGAGGTGGGTTTGCCACAAGCCTGTCAGTGTTCAAAAGGCATATGGAAAATGCTCTCAATAAGATTCTTCAAGTTTTAGTTAGGCATGAAGTGCTTAGGTAGTTGGATTTTATGATGTCTGTATGTCACTTCCAATTGAAATATTCTATTCTATTCTGTACTGCCTCTTCTGAGGTAGTAGAGTTATTCCAAATTAATAGTGATATCTGAGAGCTGAAATTGACCTATAAATTAAAGCACTAGTCATAATTTTCAGTTTTTCTGTCTTGCTGTAATCAAGAGTTGACTTCCATAATCATCTTCTGTGTGTGGGGAGCTTTGGTCCCCTTTGCTGTTTCCCAATGTTTCTGAAGTATTTGATACTTGTGTGGTTATGTGTGCTGTTGCAGTATTCACACTGTGAAGGGGTACTTTAAATATTCACTGGGAGAATAAAATGAACATGCTGTAAGTGATCACTTTAGGGAAATACCATTCAGTTATAATGAAGCATTCATTCACAAGGTTTCAATTTTGTTTGCATTTGGCATGTTACGAGGCTGACTGAACAGCCTCAGAGCAACAGCCAGAAACACAAAGTATATATCAATGTGGAGAGAGGGACGGGAAGAAAGTAACAGTTGGAAATTTGATTCATAAATGATCTTGTCTTACACATCCCCACAGCCCATATAATTCTGCAAATGCGTGCCCTTGTTTGTGTTCTGTTCCAGAGACAATATTCCTGCAATGCATTAATACGTGCATCAGCACCTCCAGTGTTGTTTCCAAACTAATATTAGGAAGTAATAAAACAGTAGCTCAGACATCATCTCACGAAACCCTATTCAGAACAGATTTAGTGGTCACAATGCAGAGATCTGCCACGGAACGACTATTTAAGCACTCCCTCCAGTGTACTGCTTCCACGGAAGAACTTTCCATACACAGGAAAATGTATGACAGATAGGAAGACTATAGGCAGATGCTGGCTTCTTAACTTCTCTATCATCTCATTTTATATGCAGGGATAAAGGAGGATTCTTTTTAGCATAGGCAATGATGAAAATACAGCTTTTTTCTTTTTCCACTTGGTACTTTCGTGCTACTGGAAAGATAAGGTTCCATTTTTAAGAACTTAATTCTGGCCCAGATGTATTACCTTCCTTATCACAAAGGATCTGATGTTTTAAATTGCTATTTAACATTGCCGTGGACTAGATAAAAGCATGATAGCCTCCATGCTTCTACATCAGACTGTCTCTTTAATTAAAAATCCACATACCACTATAATCACTAGCCTTTCTCCGCAGGACTGATTTCCTGACACCTTCTTCCTGTTCTACTCTCCTGCAGTCAGGGATCTTACCCCCCAGTTTCATATTAATTGCACATTCAGCAGCAAAGTTGCACTGTGCATATGACGAGGTAAACTGTCATGCTACATTCCACTGAAATGCTACTCCATCTCAGCCATTCCATCAGCCCTATAAAAACTGATAGTCTGGAACTGGTCAGATACCATAATTTCTCACCTGAATGGATGGTGTTATGACTGTTTTGGAAATAGGTACTGGGTGAGGACAGAAGCATGAAGGTAACCTCTTCTTTCTACTCTTTTATTGGCCTTTTCTCCTCTCTCCCTTTGGGAAAACTGCTGAATGCACTGTGACCCATAGCCAGACAGAGCCAGAGTTTGTAGCAAGCACTGCAACTAAAGAACCAGCGAAAAATACTACAATATTTTCCAAGGTCTTTTGGTTGCTTTTATTTGATTCTCAAAATATTATATTTAAATTAAACAAAAATATCCCAATGCATTCTCTTCTCAGTTATTTTAACATCAGATACGTGCCAGACAGAAAAAACTGAATTTTAAAGAAAATCTCTTAGTGATTACTAACCAAACTAACATAGTTTTCAAACACAGTGTTGCCACACTCATGAAGTTCTTCACAGAACAAAGGCAGATTCAAAGAAAGTTAAGCAATTGCAAATTGGAAACTAAAGAGAAAAATCTAAGACAACAAACAAGTACATTCAAGAAACAGCAGCTTCTCTTTTCTTTTGCCACTATTAGAATGTATACCAGAACCTTTTCCATCTCACTGTTTGCTATAGCAACATTTATATAATGTATTTACATTTAAAAGTCAGTGAAGAATCAGGAAAGCATAGGAAGGTATGAATATTATGGAGCACTTAAACAGATATGTTACTTCTGCATCCCTGTTCTACCATAGCCTTATGTGAATCAGAATAACCAATAAAACACCTTATTTTTAAGCTTTAGTCTGCAAACCACAACTAGCTTAAGTAGAATCATCCATATTTTTATATCCCTCCACCTTATCCTATTGATAAACCAGTATGTGAGTATGGTATAAAGAAAAACAACTGGTGTCTTAAGCCTTAACAGCTTACAAAACAGCTCTCGTTTTATACAAATAGTTTCCCAAATAGAATCTATCATAGACTAGGGTTACAGGTGTGCAGCTGTGTTGCTGACTAAACCAGAGGACTGAGTAGATTATAAAAACTTTTCTGTCCTTTCTTTTAAAGCTCTGTTCTTCCTTCTTCCCTTTGGTGGGGAGGCACTAAGTTCTGACTTTCCTAAAACTGAGGTAAAAATGATATCATCTGTTCTAAAGGTAGCAATTCAGCTTTGAGTGATCTGAGGTCTATAAGATAGACATTATGACAAAAGACGGAAGTCAGTGGTTTTTGTGACTCTAAAACCTAAAACCTAAAACTCTAAATAGAATGTTAAAATAAGAGGTTTTCTTCAATACTTGTTTATAGTGATTTTGATGAGATAATTGACTATTAGCTAACCAAAAAGCTGTTAGAAAAGCCTTGAGGAATGTTATTATTCAGTAGGTAGGATGCTAATGCTTATCTGAGCTGCTGCTTCTGACTAGGATGATATGTGTTCTACTTCAATAGACATAATATTGAACTAAAGCAAGGGAAAAGCATTTTTTTTTCTTTTCCAGCAAGTTAGCTAATGCTCTCTCTCAGAGATCTATCAGAGGTAATAAATATTACTTTCTTTAGAAAAAAACAACAACAAACTCAGAAGAAGCTTGAAGTTTAGCTTATTTCTAATGTGGTTCTTAGAAGATATGGTGTCTTGCTAAAAACACTGCTTTCCATAGTGATATAATACATAAAAGCTTTCTACTCTTAAACTGTATTGTAGGGCTAAAACCCTTCAAATTAGTCCTAAAAGAGATATGCAAGCTTTCTCAGAGATTGCTGACTTTGGGGTCTGCCTTTGCACCTCAAGAATGCACAGGGTTGTGAAGGGGAGGCTTGAAATCAAACTACCTAGCTGGCTACAATCTCATCACACTCTTGCTTTAAAATACAAACTCGAATTTTACTTTTAACCAGTGTGTTATATGACCAAAGTGAAGAGGGGTGAATACAGGAAGAGGTGATTCAAGTATAAAGCCTTGTCTCTCCTTTAGACAATGCAGTCACAGAATCACAGAATCGTAGGGGTTGGAAGGGACCTCCAGAGATCATCGAGTCCAACCCCCCTGCCAAAGCAGGTTCCCTACAGCAGGTCGCACAGGTCGGCATCCAGGCAGGTCTTGAACATCTCCAGAGAAGGAGACTCCACCACCTCCCTGGGCAGCCTGTTCCAGTGCTCCGTCACCTCACTGTAAAGAAGTTCTTGCGCACATTTGTGCGGAACTTCCTATGCTGCAGTTTCCAGCCGTTTCCCCTTGTCCTGTCTCCACTCACCACTGAAAACAGTCCGGCCTCGCCATTCTGCCCCCCACACCTTAGATATTTATAGACCTGGATCAGGTCCCCTCTCAGTCTTCTTTTCTCAAGGCTGAACAGACCCAGTTCACTCAGCCTTTCCTCATAGGAGAGATGCTCCAGGCCCTTCACCATCTTCGTGGCCCTCCGCTGGACTCTTTCCAAGAGATCCCTGTCTTTTTTGTACTGGGGAGCCCAGAACTGGATGCAGTACTCCAGATGAGGCCTCACCAGGGCAGAGTACAGGGGGAGGATCACCTCCCTTGACCTGCTGGACACGCTCTTTTTAATGCACCCCAGGATGCCATTGGCCCTCCTGGACACAAGGGCACACTGCTGGCTCATGGCCAACCTGTCATCCACCAGGACGACAGCCAGTCTTGGCTCTTCTGTTGGGATAGAAGTTAGATTCTACACTATAAATTAAGGTGAAAAAAGCCAGGCGCCTGGGCCCAAGACATTATATGTATTATGTATGCAAAGCCCTGATGCTTTGGTTTCCTTTTACTTTGATACCAATACCGTTAATTGAAAGATACCTGCATTCCGTAAATGATGAGACTGAACACATGGGGGAGAAATGAGAACATATCTTCAGCTTCAAGAGCTGTTGAAGGCTTGCTTTTAAAAGCAGAAATAAGAGCAAAGATGGAAGTATGTAACATGTAATGTCTCACAGAGTGTTACAATTGTAAGGGGGGAACATAAGACTGTATCCTAGGAGTGTGCTGATTACAGTAGCTATTTAGTTACTTAACTTCTTCAAAACTTCCATGAAATACTTCACGCAATGATCAAATCAGACTCTGTGTGGTTTTTTTGGTTTTTTTTTGTTTTTGTTTTTGTTTTTTTGTTTTTTTTTTTTTAGCAGAAAGAAGGACAGCTAGAGAGAGTAGAGTAACACTTAATTTAATGAATGAACAAAAAGCCTGGATAAAACAAGTGCTAATCTTAACATATGAGAAGTGGCCTTAATGCAGAGAGGGAAACCAGACTCCTAGCTTAGTGTCTGGAACACAATGACGGACTACGAGAACAGATACGAACAGGAAATCATGTAATCATGTCTAGGGCTTGCTTAGCCTGCTACTGGTGTTATCCAATCTAAAACATGGCCTCTCTGTCCTTCTTGTGCACCTTCTTGTGCACCTCCATATTCCAGCATAGTAACAATTACCATAGCTGCTTACTGCAGTTTTCTCTCTCTCTCTTTTTTTTTTTTTTTAATAACGTAAAAGGAAGGGTGGGGAAGTTAATCTTTCATAATCCTGTTGTATACAATAAAGCCAATGCACACTGGCAAAAACAAAACAACAAAACAACAACAACAAAAAAAAAAAAAAAGAAAGAAAGAAAAAAAAAGAAAAAAAAGAAAAAAAAAAGTTGCTTTTCAGGCTTGTGTAGATGTACACTGTTACAGACTGTACTTTTAAGATAAAATGTTTTATTGGTGGTGACAGGACTTTTCTGAGGTGAGTTTGGCAGAGATGCATGAAGAAGGTAATGCATAGGTGTTACTTTGTGCTAGATGAGACTTGTGTACTCTGTAAAGCTGATTCTTAGGTCAACCTTTTCTGTAAGACTCCATCTGTTGAGGTGAGGATGTAGAAAATGCCTTCCTAGACTTTGATCGATGAACCCCTGAGGCAGCTTATTCCCAGGGAAATCTTGCAGAACTCAGCAAGCCTTTTTTAATCCTTTTCAAATGTAACTATTTATAACTTAAAGAACTGAACGTGGTAATTCGACACATCCAACTGGATGCTGTAAAACAAGTATGTTTCTGTTAAATCATAACTGTGTGTCTGTAACTCTATCACTGACAACTCACAAACAGAATATGAACACACCAAGTGGCAGTGGATCTAGATGTCTTTACTGAATAGCAATTTTCCTCCCTTCAGGTTAGATGTGTAATGAAGATCTTGGAACAAGTGGATGTATGTTCTTGCTGAAGATGTCTCTTCCAAGCCAGCGTCATTGTCTTATTACTAATCCTCCTCCACCAGAATACATAAACAGCAAAAATAGTGGGTGTCAAACAAACCAACTTCAGTACTTACAGAGAGTGGTCATGAAAGCCATGTGGCGACACAACTTTTCCTGGCCATTTCATCAACCTGTAGATGCAGCAGCACTGAATCTTCCTGTAAGGACTGTTTCAGAAATAGAGTATTATCCCATGAAGTATTGCAGTATTTGTGAATTAATATTAGAAATCTACTTTAGCATGATAACTGCTTTAATCATTTCCAAGTACAAGAAAACTATGCTTTCTCTTGCTGATTAATACTGAGTGCTGCATCTTTGTTCACTTTCCTTTCTGAGACTGTTGCAAATCAATATTTCTTCAAGGAATAAAAATGCTTACATGGGCCTTATAGAGCTTCCTGATTTTGGTAATCTGTGCTGTCTTTCTTCTAATTCCCCACTAATTGAACTGTGTTTCTTAATACTGAGTATAGTGTTTTTTCTTTTCTTTTTGACTATTTTTTTAAATGGGAAGTTGCTAACCTCTTTCTAAATACTTTGTGATGAAAAAGCAGATCTGATCCTAAAATAAATAGGCAAATCTGGATCCAATTTGATGCACTGCACTGTGATTTTTGCCATGTACAAAATCACTAGCACATTCCTGGACTGAACACAAGGTCTTGTGACAAGAAGTCTTAATTTAGGTATCTTTATACTCAAATATTGGATCACCCCAGCTTTTTCAGTCAAATGAAAACATCAATAATTGACACAGCATTCCAACTATTTCAAATTACCTGGAAGGTACTGCTTATGGCAAATGAGTAGAAAGGTGTTAACACCGTGGTTTCTCCAATTCTTTATTTTCCAAACTAGGTATTTTTACTTCTCTCATGTCTGAGATTAATTGTACATAATGTGCCATGAAACATAATGCAGTTTTTTCTCTTGCAATCTAATTTTTGTAATTGTGTCAGAATCATCATGTCCTAATATTCAAGAGATTTGCTGTGATTCTTTGAAAAACACAGGATTACTACAGTATTATAAAGAAACCTATGGACCTGAGCACAATTAAAAAGCGTCTGGAACATAATTACTACACAAAAGCTGCAGAATGCATTGATGACTTCAAAACCATGTTCCTGAACTGCTACATATATAACAAGGTAAGTGAAACTAACACCTCTTATTGGTAATCAATTGTAATGAAAGCCAACGAGTCTGAATTAGTGGATACTTCTAACTACCTACAGTACTTGTCAATGTTTTCAACGTTTCTTGAAGCTAGTTCCATTTGAAATGGGAGAGGGCTTTGCTGCTAGGTTTAACTGAAGACAGAGGTGAGGCTTAACTTGCTGCTAACATCTGAATGCATAGTTATCATAACATGAGGGTTCTGCTGGCGAAACTTCAAGGTTTATTTTGCACAGCTTACAACACAGTGTAACAGCCAGACAAGTCCAAGGTTAGTTACTCTGAGGCATGCTTCTTATTAACTTAAGACACACTAACTTAAGCTGAAGTGTGAGTATCTCCTTGAGCTTTGGCTATGCTTAAGTATCTTTGAGCTTTCTTCAGATCATAGGAATGAATAAAGGGTGGGGGTGGGGGTAGGGGTGGGGGAAAGGGGCTATTAGATAGGGAACAGGGATGACTAGTGTCTCTCTGATACAGGTGACGTGTTGCTATCTATTCAATGTAGACTATGGTTAGTTGAAAAAGTAGCACTTTATTACTGCAGCTTTTTCTCCTGCACTCTGAATGCTATCAACTATATTTTGCAGCCAGGTGATGACATTGTGTTTATGGCCCAAGAACTAGAAAAAGTGTTCATGCAGAAAATAGCACAAATGCCATCAGAAGAAATACTGATGCCCAACAAAGGAAAAAGAAAAGAAAAGCTGACAGAAGGTAATGGCTTTGTGCTGAATTGTTAACATTAAATAAAAGCTGGGAACAGAGAGTCCTCTGTAACTCGTCACAACTCAGCACAGGAGTAGTTGGGATGCTCTCTATCTTTCCCAGAATACACTGGACCAGTAACACTACTGCAAAGCTTTGGCAGATTCAGTGCAGCTGTAATGTTGTAAAGGAACTTTCTACTAATGAAATGTATTTAAGACGAGGGAAAAACACTCACCAGAATGAGAACTGACAACACCATCAGTAGTGCAACAGCATAGTTTTATATATGAAACAGTGCTCTTGACTGAATCATATTTCTTGTGGACAAGACATCTCAAACTAATGAGGAAATTACGTAGTAGATACTACAAATTACATTGGGAAGCCTAATTAAAATGGTCCAGGAGATTAGCTTCAACTCATTACTCATCTTTGACCTCCTGTGTTGTCTTAATTGCTCTTGTAACCTGCTTCATTACCTTGAAAAATGTTTCATTTGAACAAAATTCTTCTTTCAACACTGCCAGACAAATAAATTTATTAATAGAAGTGGACTATTTAGTGTGTTGAATTGTACGTGCATCCCAGTGGATGAATTTGGAGGCCTTCAAGGTAGACTCCCAAGTGGGCCTGGAACTGATGTCAGTTGCTGGATCTATGTTAGCTCTAATGAAAAGATGTTGTACCTTAATAGGAAGCAAGTGTTTGTTGAACAGGTATAAGCAGTTCCCAGAAATTTTGAGAAATGCATTGGAAACTGAGCAGATCTTAAATTATGACAATTATACACTCATAAGTCAGTCTTTCTCATACTGAAGCTGTTTAAGACCACTTATATCCTTTACGTACACAAACATGCAACTTGTATGAATTTTGAAGTGTTTTAAAGACTATAATTTCACGTGTATGCAGAATGATTTAGTATTTTCTCTGCAAGTACTTCTCTTTTCTTACAATATAGGGGGCTTAGCATGTTGTCTATTAAATCACTTCTCTGAGGTTAATCCGCAGTTTCTTTGATGCCAACTATCCATAACTTGACACAGTGCTCTAGCTGAGATAGAGGAGTTGAGTAGAGGATAAAAAACATTGCTCTATATATCAAAGCTTTTATTTGTACTTGTTACTTATATAGTTCGTGTGTGGAAGATGTATTATTTAAAACTGTCCACTATGATCAACTGCACTATTTAAGGCATAACTTAAAACTTTTTAAAAATAACCAGAACCTCAGCAGCCAAACAGTGGGACTTCATCTAAACAGAGAACAAGGCAGAAACAACATGAAAGTGGTGAGCAGCCTACAGATATAACTCAAGAGCTACAGAAGGCCACACCACCTCCTTTGTCTGCAGCTCAGCTGACTACTTTAATGCCAGCTGCCATCCCTATCACAAAAGTAAGTTACCTCAAATAACTTTTGGAATGAAAGGTATTGAAATCACTGCTCCAGGCATGAACAGCAAGACCAAAAAAGTCATGTTTATTGCAGGATCTCTTCAAAACTTCTATTGTGACAGAGGATAATAAGAGATCTAATATATATTTTAGGTCTCTGTTAAATAACTGGGCTACTATTATTTCTAGAAAGCATGCAGAAATTGGAATGACTGCTTGGTAGATGTTCATTTTTTTATAAATATCAATTGAAGATTGTTTTTCCTCAAAGTAAACTAAAAAGCTCGTTCTCAAAGTGTATTTCCACACTTTTGCAAGTTTTGCCTTGATGTAGGAATTCTTTCCTTGTGATCCAGATAAAGGTTTTAGTATTGAAATAAGATTTTTGTAAGTTCTATTTAAAAACTTCTCATGTTTTCAATTAAAGTGCTTGAGTTCCCAAAATAGCATATTAGTTGAAACACTAACTAGCTGGGAAAGGTGTTCATAGCTCACAAAAGCACTTGTTAATTGCTGTATGAATTGTATGTGGATGTCTGACACTTCTGATCAAATGAACAGGCTTGTATGGGCTTAGCTTTCTTTATCCATTTCCAACAAGGTCCTCTTACAGTGTATATTTACATTTACTACAGATCTGAACACGAACGGGCAAAGCAAGTTCACCTCCTCTAGACCAAATACCACTTGGGGTTTAAAAAAATTGTAGACATAAATCGTTCTGCCAGTTTAACATAAACTGCAGTAACTTTTTTTGCTTTCCATAGTAGTCACTTGAATATTTCATAACCTATTGGTTTCTTTCAGTCTTCTCAATTGGCTAAAAGCTACCCACAACCTACTTCCTTCCTTTAAACTTAAGAGTAAGCTTGATGTTGGTTCATAATGTATTGCAGATTCTCAGTCTAAACTTGGGGAAATACTATGTTCTTTTGGTTTTGATACTTGTAGAATTCTTGACACTTCTGGTTTTTTTTGTTTTTTTTTTTTGTATGGTTTCAAAGCTGACCTCCCACTGTTCTGGATGTACATCTTTTAAACTTAAAGATTTCATTTTTCTAGACAAAAAAAGGTGTGAAAAGGAAGGCCGACACTACAACTCCTACTACTTCAATACTCACAACAAGCAGTGAATCTTCTGCAACATGTAATGAAAGAAAAACTGTTAAAACATGCAAAGGTGAAAATGAATGTATGATACCAAAGAAGATTCTGAAGAAAGGCTTACCAGATTCTCAGCAATCACCTAGAGTTCTTAAAAAGATTCAGTTGTCAAAACAACTAAAATATTGTAATGAAATTCTTAAAGAAATGTTCTCAAAGAAACATTCAGCATATGCACGGCCTTTCTTAAAATCTGCAGATGTTGTATCCTTCTCACTTGGTGAGAAAAAAGGGATCACCAAATGTCCTGCAGACTTGGGAACCATTAAAGTAAGTATGTTTTAGAGGGGATTGGACAACTTCTTCACTTAAATAACTTGTGTAATCATGTTGGATTTTAATAGCACTAGCTGAAAAAGTCATGAAAGCTGCTTTTCATTTGAAAGAAATAGTTTGAGAGAACAACTGCTCTGCTCACTAAAAAGCAACTGTTTACTGAAGTTCTTCAGAGCCTCGTGGTGACTATGTACATACTGGCTAATCCACAAGCTAATAGCAGTAGTGCTGAGAATTAGCTTGAACAAGCTAATAGCAGTAGTGCTGAGAATTACCTTTTTAATCAGGCTGCTAGTAAAGCATATTAAGTCTCTTTCAGTCTGTGTGATGCTGTTGCTAGTGTTATACAAAACAAAATGTTTCATATTGCCTACTTCTGCTTCTGTCCAAACCCCTTCAACCTCTATAGTGCCTAGAATCCTCAAGCACTGGATATTTGTGACACCTTTCACCTTTTCTGTGAAAATTAACCCTCCTCCAGGTGGATACTGGTGGTCAGTAGCCTACAAATACTAGGCAGATCACTCTGGGACTGAGTTGGTTAGTCAATTTATACCAAGGCTATGGAGCCACTTTTAAAGTTAATGCCTAAACTTCTATTCACTTTCTTTCCCCCTAGAAAAAAATGGATAATTTTGAATATAGAGATATACAAGAATTTGCCACAGACGTTAGATTAATGTTCATGAATTGCTACAAACGTAATTCTCCAGACCATGAAGTGGTTGCCATGGCAAAAAAACTTCAGGTGAGTTATTTTTGAAGTCAGATTTGAAACAGAAAAAGACTTGAGGATTTTCTTGGTCATTTAGGCCCTGATGTACCATCCGCTGTGATCAGCTCCTCCGATGTGTAGTTCTAGAAAACAAACAGGAGCTTCACAATGCTTTGAGAAATCTGAGATGTTTATTTGCTGTTCCTAAACAAAATCCTTTAGGATGTTTTTGAGACTCACTTTGCCAAAATTCCTGATGAACCAGCTACAAGTGTTCTTCTGCCACAGCATGCAAGAGAAATTACAAAAGCTTATTCCAGTGACAGCAGCAGTGATGACTCCTCAGAAGAAAAATCATCTGAAGACTTTAAAAAGGAGAGAACAGTGTACCTTGCAAAACTTCAGGAGCAGGTAACTACTAGGAGTCAACATCGTGATTGTAATGTCTCTGGTAATGCCCTTGCAATTGTCTATTCTAAGGCTTAGCACCAAGAATCAGTGTTTACAGGACTCTACAGTCACTTGGATTTTGAAAAACTAAACTTGATTCTGTTTGGAAGTACTTCCAAACATTAACAATCTGCAAGTGCCTCAGCAAATACAAAATGTTTCTATTGAAATGTCATCTAGTGCTCTTGCCTAGCATTTTTTTTAGATAAGACATGTCTTTTGAACAAAAATAAGACTGTTGCCATGATACCATGGATGACAGCATGCAGGTACTCCACACACAGAGTCACATGCTTCTGAACGGCATTTGCTTCATTTTATACGGCTAAAAAGCTCTCTTATGCTCAATCTGTCAAGGTGTGTTAGCTCCTTTACATAGTCAGGAATATGCTTTTGAGACACATAAAAGCAAGTCATAAATTCTATGTTAGAAAGCTTAGTATAAAATAAAATAAAGTTTTTTCAACTACTGCCAACAGCATGAATATCATAGCTATGTCTTACTATCTAACAGTGTGATAGTTCTAATTTTTGCCTGAAATAACAAGTCAAGCTGCTACTGTATCTATAATCCAGGGAAGGAGTAAGTTTTGGTTCTGCTAGTCAAATAAGGAACAACTCAGCGTTCATTTCTTCCCAGAGTAGGACATAAAACATGAGTTCACGAATATTGGCCTGAAGATAACTAATTCTACAAGACAGCCTCACCACAGTTAAGTATTTCAGTGTGGTTGAAAACTATATTCTCAGTCTAATTCCTCTTTATAATCTATTAGAGGTTTAAATAAACTTCCTATAAAGCTATGTCAACATGTGATACAAAACAGCTAGCTGGGAATAAAGTACCTTGGGTTTGCAGATTGAAGATGCCCATGCCCAGCCCAGCTAGCTCAATGCAGTAATCACATGAAGCATTTACATGCTTCCCAAATGCCTGAAATTGAAGAGAAGCCGCTGGACAGTACTACAGTGAATTTCTTATTTTGCTATTTAGTTTTCACAGTTTGTTGGAAGATGCATGCTCTTAGACAAGCCTGCAAAAAAAAAAAAAAGTAGCTTTATTTTCTAATCATCTTGTCTGTGACTATTTTTATTTTTTTGAATAGACTAAGATGTTTAAAAAACAAGTCTTGTTTGGAGAGCAAACATTAATATCCATTATAAGCCAGAGATCTGATTTTTACATATAGAACCAGTTCACCATTCCTATTACATTACTTAAGACTCTCAGCTTTTTATTTTTCTTTTGATAGCTTAAAGCTGTTCACCAGCAGTTGCGGGCTTTGACCAGAGCATCCTTACCTAGATCAAAAAAGAAAAAAGAGAAGGCTAAGAAAGAAAAGGGGAAGAACAAGGAAAAAGCTAAAGCAAGCCTGATTCAAAAAAAGAAAGATCTAAAACACAAGAAATCTAAGAAAAAGCAGTCTTCAAACATGTAAGTGCGGGGGACTTGTGTGGGTGTAAAATTATTTTAAACTACAGTTACTGCAGTAAATTTCTTTTTGCAGTCAATCAAAGAAAACCATCCAGCAGGTCTTGTTGGCACATAAGTCAGAAGATGATGATGGTGCCAAGCCTATGACTTATGATGAGAAAAGGCAGTTGAGTTTGAACATAAATAAGCTGCCTGGAGATAAGCTTGGGAAAGTAGTCCATATAATACAATCAAGAGAACCATCACTGAGGAATTCTAGCCCTGATGAGATAGAAATAGACTTTGAAACTTTAAAGGCTTCAACACTCAGAGAATTAGAGAAATACGTGGCAACCTGTTTGAGGAAGAGACCAAGAAAGCAGCATGGTATGTAGAATAAATTATGTTTCAAAAGAACAAACAGATCAATTCTCTGTTTTGCTGAGGTGTTAACTCCTATCTCACACAGCCAAAAAAGCAATGAAGTCAAAACAGCAGCTTCTTTCTGAGAGGAAACAAGAACTGGAGAAGAGACTACTGGATGTCAATGGTCAGATAAATCCAAAGAAAGAGAACTACAAATGTAATGTGAATTTCATTTATTTGCAACAAAAATCTTGAAGTGTCAATTTGGCCTGTGTACTGTTATGTAAATGGAGACTTTTTCTTCAGAATATTTAAGGTCTTAGACTTCTCTTTGCTAGGTTTTAAGATTGCATTTGCTGGTGTGACACCATAGGAACAGGCAGCTACTTGTCCTGTATAAAACCTCTTCCTTATTTCTCCTATCTAATCCTTTAATAAAAGTAAAAATAACATTTTTCACTTTTGCAATAGAAGACATGACACAAACTTTACTAGCCCCATAACTGTCAGGCTATAGCTGATAGCCAACACTGAATAGAGAAAGCTAGTTGAATGACTTTAAAATATCCTAGAAATAAAAGCTACAAGAAGCAATTAAGTTATTAACGTAATGTTGGGTGAAGATGGAGGAGGCAGGCTAGAAAATATTTTAAATTGGTATTTGGCTTCATTACAAGGGAGAACTGAAGCTAGCATTTAGCAAATGTGTGTCTAAGAAAATAGGGATATTGGTATAGGCTTCTTGTTTCCCAAGCTTCCACTGGAGAAACAACTTCGAGGAAAAGCTTTTTTGTCTGAATAAGATTGTAAACTAAGCTTAAGCTAACCCTGCGGATGTAAAACAGTCATACGGTGAGGAGGTGGCAAAAGATAATTCTAGATTACACATAGTGTAGGAAAGAGGAGAATCAACTATAGCAAAGGCCTCAGTATGCAAACCTGGCAGCACTAATAAGCACAACCAGACTTAAGAGCAGGAAAAACTATGGTGGAAACCGTGCTTGAATTGTGTCATACAATAGCACATATCTTAACCTAGTTTAGGCTTGTAAGTTGTGTGTTTGCAGCTATTAATTGGCTATTTCATTTATCCAAGCCCACCGCTGATAAATCTCTGTTCTATAAAGGTCATGAATCTGCTGGAAAGATGACAGGGTAATGGTAGAAGACTAGCAGTCATATGGGAAAACAGCCCTTACAAAGAAGATCCTAGGCTTGTAGATGAAGACCTACTGCAGGATGTTTCAAAGTCTTCCTTTTTATTCTGCAGTTGAGAGTAATGCTGAGTCCAGTATTAGACCAAGCCGACTGAGTGAAAGCAGCAACACTAGCAGCTCCTCGGACTCGAGCAGCAGCACTAGCAGTGCTTCCAGCTCCTCAGACAGCAGTGACTCTGAATCGGGTCAGAAAGCTTCCTTTTGTTTCTGTCGGGGCAGAATATCTGTCTTCCTAATTTGCACCTATTGCTCCAAATGCTTACCAAGGACTTAAATAATTCATACAGGTTTCTTCTATGTTGAGGACTCAATTCTAGATGTTATTAAATGAATGTCTCAAAACTGAGTTAAAAATGAATAACGAAACTAAAATCTGTTAGAAAGAAGTCTGTGTGTCTGACAGAGACCTGACCACCAGGCTACAGCTTACTTCTGTGGGTTTTTGCATTGCCTCTCTCTTTTCTTTTTCTTTTTTTTTTAAACTACTAATTGAAAGTTGAACTTATTTTCACTGTCTGGTCTGCAGTACCAGAGGAGCGTTATCTTATGGGTAAGGTTTTGTTCCTAAGCCTAGGGACAAAATGGCCAACAATGCTGGCTGGAGTGCCAAAATCTGCCAAGGTGCTTAAGATTTCTCACATTTGTTCATGGTGTAGTGTGGTGCTGTAGCATCATGATGCTGGAATTACGCTTCTCTATGTGGAACACTTCTTATTCTTCCGGGGCAGAGTAGATCCTCCCCCACATTTGAGTGGTAGGCATCCGTATGAGGCAACAGCCTTAAGTTAGATGAATCCCACACTTGCCCTTGAATGCAGAAAAGCAAATAGTGGAATCACTGAGGGTAGCAAAGATCTTGATCCTGCAGGGATTTGTACGTGTTAAATCTGGGAAAAGTTCCGTAACACATCAAACTGAAGTGTGCAAGATAAGACCATTCCTTTCCATGTGGAGTTTGGCTCTTTGGGTACACACCCATCTTATGACTTGTACATGTAAATAATGCTACATATGCAGTGACTTTCTTTTTTTCCCATTCCTCTCTTTCTGCCCACCTCACTGAATTTACAGTTACAGGAACATGCTCAGAACAGAGTGGAATGATGCAAAACTGCCTAACTTCTTTGGAACAACCTAAGGTAAACTGACTGTTGTGGATATAACTTTTCATCTCAGTAGTTAATTGGTACATCCGACAGTATTGGGAAGTGCACAAGATAAGCAGGAAATAATGAACATAGCTTGAATACTACTTGCTCTGTAGGACTGACTCAGTAATGTAAAATCTACTTAATAAAGGTATATTTTGCTTTTTTATGGAAGATGAGTATAAAAACTTCTGAGATTTTTACCCATTATGAATACTGGAAGTTCTCTGCTGGATGAAGGTGTGGAGAGGACAGAGAATGCTTCCTTCCTTCTCTACCACCACCAAAAGTCCTTAATAAAACTTAATAATTGACAACAAAACACAAAGTGATGATCTGGTGGGCTTCTATCTATCAAACCAAAGCAGGGGATTTTACTCCACCGGGATTTGTCAACTAAACTCTCATGAACGCCACACTACAAAAGGACTACTGCACCTGAAAAATGCTGTAAAGGGAGGGAGAGAGAGAATCAAACAGTTATTAAATTAAGATTTTTTTTGAGCATATTAATTAGTGCCTTCTCTTCACAGAGAACATCACTGTGCTTACAGAGAATGCCCTACAATGCTGTTCTGCAAGTACAGCCCTCATCTGTTGCTAGTAGCTTGCAAAACCATGGATCACCAGAACCACAGCTGTTGTCTCCCATTGTGCTACAGAAGCTTAAGCCTTTACAGAGTAGATCTCTTAAATCAGCAGAACAAAATGCTAAGTCTCCCTCAGGTAACAACTTTATGGCAAGAATCATGGCTATTTGAGTGAACCTTGAAGAAAGAAAGGTGGTAGAATTGGTGTTCACACTGCTCAGTAAGCTTATCTTGAAGTTTTGGAAGTTATTGGGTGAGTAATAGCGAAGGTTTTTACATGATATGGACTAATTAGGAGCATGGTGTAAGCAAAAGTATGTCAAATAGGATATAGTTTGATTACTCTGGCGCTAAGACTGGGATAGAACACTATTAAAACAGAGAGGTTCATGCCTCCCTCCCTCAATGAAGAGAGCCAGCAACTGGAGGCAGTGATGCCTTAATGAACCTAAAGTTACAGGAAGTACTTCAAGGCAGGAGTTAAATGCTTAATTTTTTGCCATCATTGTTCAAGTTAACATATGAAGTACTTATTAGCTGCACTAGCACCACAGGCCTTCTGAACTGATCAGTTATCTAAACATATCAGCTATAAGTCACTACGAAATGTGATTAAGAAACTGTTTTCTTTCTCTTCAATCAGAAGGTGTCAATTCAGACACTCCTCAGTTGTTTAGTAAAAGACAGCTGGTAGTTGATAATCTGAAAAAAAAAAAAAAAAATTAAAACCTAATAAAAAAAAGTCATAGTGCAGCTAGGTAGTTTTGCAGTTGGTAGCTACAAAGTAGCTAGGTAGCCTTTGTAGTTGGCAAATCCACAGCTCTAAACAGTGAGATGCAGAACTGCAGTGTGTAGGTTCTGGGAAACCATTCACCTCTTCTTTCTCAGGTATGCTTGCAGATGTATGTGCTTTGCAAGATACTTCAGTCAAGCAAATGCCTCAGACTGCTCGAAGGACAGATCAGCCTTTTGATATCCAGTGTACACAGGCTGTTCCAGAGGTGAATACATCTCTCCAATACATTATTTCAAATAACTATTTTAAGGCATATCTATTTCTTTAAATTGATGTAACACTCCAGTCTTGAGTCTGATGCAAAGAAAGCCACTTTAGAACAATAATAAAACATTTACCTAAAAGCCCACTAAATATGTGATTCTTATCCTTCAATAGGAGCATGAATTCATTGGACACAATATAAAAAGGAAGAGTTTGGCATTGACTGAAGTGCATCAACTTTATAATGCACTATAAGACTCACTTATTCTCGTTTTCAGTGCTGAAGTTTAAATTCAGGTAGTCCTTGTAGTCATATATGTCAAAAGCTCACCTGTAAACCTACAGCTGTGCAGAGAGATGAACAATTCATACTGTGTGTTCTTGCTCTCTAGAAATATCAAGCTCCAGAAGCTTAACAAGAATCTAGAGGCTTTTTCTTTCTGTGAAATATTTAAACACCATCTCCATGCTCTTGGAGAGCATGCTGCTTAGGAGGGCCTCTGCATAAAGAAGCTATTGATGTCATTGCCACAGCATGATCTCTTCTATCTTTGGATACTAAACTGTCTTTCTCAACATGGCTTTGAACACATTAATACATTATCATATAGCAAGAACTAACATGTTATCAGAGTATGTTTTGAAGTCTAATTTCTCTATTTCTCTTCTAGGTATCCAATACAACCTTCCCTGCTGATGATGCTGATGGGACTAAAACTGAAAAAACATTAGTTAATCTAGATGAAGTTCAAAGCAAGGCCAGTGAGAGAGCCGCTGATTCAATATCTATTAGCCAAGAGCAGAGTATGTACTGCCATAATCAGAACCAATTGATTTAAAGGCCAGAAAGTTAAATGTCTATGAATCTGTCTTGAAGAAATAAAATGTTTAACACTTGTGCATGAATCAGTTGACAAAACACTTGCTTTTATTTGCTGTGTTTTTGGTGTGGGGTTGGTTTGTTGTTTTGTTTTGGTTTTTTTGTTAAGGAAAAAAATGTTACAGCTCCTTTCTCGTTCTGCACTAAAATACAGAAAGCAAAACGACTTAGTACTGACTTCAGAAAGTTAACTAAAGATAATTCAGTATTCCAGAAAGCTTGAGAGTGTTGATTGAACCTCCAGTCTGCACAGAATTTTGCTGGTCCTCGATTGTTTTCTGCTGATTCTCGAAGGCAGCTCATTCCCTAAGAGCACTTTATGCTTTTTGAGTAACTATCTCCAGTTTTGTGATGAGGATCTGATAGTAAAGTGATGTCAAGTAACTGCAAGTTTATTCCATGAGATTACAAGTAGGCAGGTCTCCAGAAAGCTGTATTCCATAGCAGAATGTGTCAGGCTTCATGCATATTGCAAACTCAAGACTGCACAGCGAGGTACAGAGTGCCCTCACTTAAATCTGAGTGTTACTAGACACAATTACTTGGGTTTTGTTCCCTCTTCACCATTCCTTGCATATGATTGAACAGGGTGGGAACAAGCTTTGGCAAAACCTAATTGAAATATCACAGATTAGTTGCTCAACTCTGGACAAAGGATAGTTCTTCTACTGTACTTAAAAAAAATAATAAGAAAGAATTTTAAAATGTGTAATAGGTGAATCAAATAGACTTAACTTACTATATTCTGCCCCTTTGGAATTTGAATTCCTGTCCTGTGTACCACATATAGCGCCAGGATTGTGATTGTTTCTATACGTTGAAGGGCTGGGAAAACAAGCAGGAATGAATGAAGCTTACTGCTTCATGCTCACAGGGTTAGCAGGGGGATGCAAGCATAGCCAAAACTATCGTCTACTGCTTAGCCTTTAGTCTTAAATTTTGACTCTGATCTTTCATTTAATTTGTCCTACTATCTCTCCTTCCCTTCCTCATTCAATTCTGCATGTGCAGACAGCTTTGGGGGAAGGGGAGCGGGAGGAATACAGGAACTATTTCATGATTAAACTGCCTTTGAGTATGTGTGAGCTTCAGCATTTAATTTTGAGAGGAGCTATCTGACCCCTTCAGTAACAGTGGTGTTTGACTGTTCCTGCAATAATATGTGTTCCAGCCATTCTTAGTGTTGAAGAAAAACTTTTTTGTTAATAACTTCTTCTGTAGAAAACTTGAGGGAAAAAACAGAATGCATGTAGTTGAATTGAACTGCACCAACCTGCAGAACAGTGGTTCCGTTCAGCATGAATATTAGGAAATGCTACCAGTATTTGGGAATGTTTCTGTCATTTTGAACCACGTGATTTAATTTTGAAAATTCTGTAGTGTGAATTAAGTCATTTTCTAGATTGACTAAACAAATTATTTTAATTTGAGGTAACAAAATCCACAAAGTCTACATGAATAAAAACCCCATTTTTATTCTTCCATCAGGTCATTGTAATACACCTAATGGTACAAAGACTCCAGAGACAAAATCCCAGAGTTTTCCAGAAAGGGTAGGTGCTGTCTTGTGAATTCATGTTTTCTAGAATTAAAATTAGAGAAGTGAACAGAAAGAACTGCATAAGAGTTGCAATTGCTACTGGTTATTAAACTGCTTTGCTAGAGAATTTCAACACTGAGGAAAACATTGAAAAAATGTACTGAAGTCTGCTTAGATTGCTTTATTTGCTCAAATATTCTTAGAAAAGTGAAGAATTTTTTGTTGTAGGTTGTCTACACTAAGTTCCCTGAAAACAGCATTGTGCTAATGTAGGAACTAAGTAGAAAATGGGTAATTGAAGTGAAAAAAAAAAACAACTTTAGTAGCTGTATTATTGCTACTTCCATGTTTCCTCCCACCCCCTTTTTTTCTTTTCAATAATTTTAGGCCGCAGGAATTAAGAACATAGACTCCTGGGTAAGCTTGTGCAAAATGATGATGCTTCCAGCTCCAATAAAGTCATCTGCAGAGAGCTTCAAGCATTTCAGGAAAGTAGCCTTACAGAAGGCAGCTGGGCAAGCGCAGGAAAAAGAGAGGTTTGTAACAACATATGCTTAAACATCAATCTATTTTTTTGCTTATATGTGTTCAATCTATGTGCGTGGTCTATCATCTGGATAGTTGAATAATTTTGTGGGCTAAATTAAAGAAGAATTAGCTTTGGACTGCTTAGGCAATGCAATAGTTGTCTTTTTTGTTGGAGCACTCAGTTCCTCTGGGCATGATCAGAATTCATACCTGCACTCAATACATTACTTTTCTGTATCTATAGTCAAAAAAATCCCTATCTAATCCCTATCTAATTGATATCCAAATGGACAAGTAGGATAATCTTCAAGGATAATCTTCAAGAAGTTGGTGCTAATGTAGCTAAAGTAGTGCCAGTGTGAACTACTTTAGACAGTAAAACTCACATTCAGAATGGTCTATCTGGAATCCTGCCATACTGGCAAGTAATGCTGGATCTTGCTTAAAGTCCTTCCCCTCCCAGAGGATCCTTGTTTAAGCACTACTGCTTTAGCAGAACTTAGTATAGATAATGGTGCAGCCTACACCTAACAGTTGCAAAAGCATCCATCTCATTCAGCAGAGCTTTTCTTCCCCACCAGCATGCACTATAAGCAGCATCAGTTTCGGTTAGTTGCTTACATAATCTGACAGTCCCTCTTTGAACTCTTTCATATCTTCTATAAATACCTCTTTGTAAGTTTTCAGTGATTCATATTTACTAGTGCATAAAAAGTTTTTTTCTGGTTAACTTCTGCATCGTTTTTAATGCAAGAGAGGTATCTGTCAAGTGACATCAGAAATCCTTGTCTGAAGTTAGTGAAATAGAACTCAATTAGTTTAGAAGGATGAATTTGGAAGCAAAATGTCCAAACTAACAGAAAATTAATCATGTATGAAAGAATGTGACTTCAGTAAAAGTTTTGCATAGCATGCATACAAATCCTGTGTGCATATAGATTGGAAATAGAACACAAGGAGCCTTATCTTACTACCACATAAAAACTGTGTACACTGTACTTCTTGCAAAGAGAAATTATCATAATTCATAAAATGGAACCACGTACTATGTACTAAGTTCGGATTTATTTGCAGAATTCTGTTGAGTTGCACAGCCTTGTTACAAAAGAAAATAAAAAGATTTCAAGCCTGTACTTGTTTCTCCTCCATTCTCTAAAGGGTCCCTAAAGGCACAGGATTGGATGCCATGGTAATGAAAGACTTTAAGCCCCCAAAAGAAGAGGATATGAGCAAACAATTGCCAGAAGCTCAGCAACACCCTCTTGCTCAGGACCGTAACTTGGCCAGAAAAATGGAACAAGAACGCAGAAGGAGAGAAGCAGTAAGTTGCTGACTCTTTTTGGTTAATTTTGTTTCAATTCTAGTACACAACTGAGAGAAGAAATTCAGGTCCTTCAAAGTAAGAACCTGAACAAGTAAAAACAAGATAACTCTGCAATCTGAAGTTAGACCAGAAAATAAAATAGGATGATTAAATAAATCTGTAAGCGGCATAACAAAAGAAGTGCTCCTATTATTCATACAATGTTACAATAATTGCATAACAAAATCAAATTATTAAGTAGGCAGAGATTCCCCTTTAAAAAGTCAAACCTCAAGTCTTTGCAAGCTGCTCTTCCTCTTCAACATGCTAACATACAACATGTCAACAAAAGTGCGCCATACTGTAGTACTCTGAAATACCAACATGGAGCCTTTCAAAAACTAACTTACTGGTCTTATTGGTATAGATAATGAGTGCTCTTTAATTGCTATTATGCTTTAGGTTAAATGTTTCTAAACCAGTTCAATGTACAGTATTACGCAGTTTGGCTAAGATCATAATAGACCCAGATAAAATCTCCTGAAGCTTTCATCTTGCTCAGCACTTTTCAGAAGGACTTGAACAGTATGCATAAGCAAACTTGTAAAAACACAGGAAGCATACACTTCTTTGGGAAGAAACTTTGTAGGTTTTCATTAAATCTTAATATTTGTCCTGCATAGTATTCATTACTGCCTGACTGCTCTGAGAAATACACTGATTTGCTTTCTTGCAGATGGCTTGTACAATTGATATGAATTTGCAGAGTGATATTATGGCAACTTTTGAAGAAAACCTTGAATGAAAATGGTCGTTAATGTAGAACTTAACTTTGGTACTACTACTGACTATATGACTTTGCAAATATAATAGTTATGAGCTTAAACACTAAAATCACTTTAAAGAGCATGCAAGCCCCTGTAAAATGCTTGATGTGGAAAGCTTGCTCACTGGCATCTGAAGCATCACATGATAGTTTTGTTTCTTGCTTATAACATATATATGATCTAGTCTTCTATGCAGTGGGATACTGTTGTACTTCTGATTACAGTTCATATTTTGTACTTACATATGCATGATTTTTTCTAATCCTTCAATCCATTTTTTCAGAAATGCTTCAGAATCTGTTATACAGTCCACAGCCAAATTCTCTTGGTTTTACTAGTCAGTGCAGTAAATGCACAACTACAGAAACTACTTCAACTCAAAGTCTTGCCAGCTAAATGATTATTATTAAGACAGTCATTTGTTATCATATTTGAACAAAATCTGGGCTGTGACAAAAGATTTCATAACAATAATGATTTCTACAGAGTGTGTAACATTACTTGTGATCAGAAAACAGTACTTCCTGGAATTCTAATTTCAGTAATAAATCTAACTCATTTGCAAATCCTATATACTTGCATGCCTTACAGACAAGTCATCTTCTGTTTAATGTATTTTATGTTAACATCAGTGTGCAAGCATGTTTGCCAGATGATTCTGATTTTTCATGGAAAGAAATTATCTAAAATACTCCTCATCTGGATCCAGTTTGAAGGCCTTTCTGTTTAATGCAAGATTTTAATAATGTTGAAATACTTATCTGAAGTAGAAACTAGTCTAAAAGATCTATATTCCTGTTGATTACATACAACTTTCTCAAACTAAGTACTGGATTAATTAGACATTTCTTTATAGAATTAATACCAAAATACAGCAAGCACTATGGAAATGTTGGAGGAAGAGTCCCCCTTAGGATAATCTGGTTTAGTGATCCCAAATTTTTTGGATCGTGTAGCCATTAGTAAAAAAAGAGCATGTACCAGATATCCTTATACATTTATGAATTATGTACAACCATACAAATATTACATATCCTAAAAAACATACACAAAGATGGAAATTAAAGGATTAAATAAACGCTATTCTAATTTTTTCTTCTTTTGTTTATTAACAGTACCAAAAATAAATTTTCTTCCTGCACCTCAGCCGATTGTCTTGTGCATTCTCCTTTGTAGGCCACAGTCCTAGCTAAAGTTCCCCTTGAAACTCTCCCCATGGGGACCTCTGGTCTGTCGAGTTCTTGGATCAAAGCTGAAACTGAAGGGAGCAGACAGTGTTGTAGTGTGCTCTGCTACAGACCACCCAGTTAAGTGGACAAGGCTTTCCACGAACAACAGAATTTTCAGATAAATAAAATAAATTACAAAGCCTGCATAAAAACAGCAGCATGGGTGAGGAGACAGCGCTAGCCCCAAAATACCTATTTTGCCTTAAAAAGCTATTCTGTATCTTTTATTTCTGTCACTGATGGAATGTAGTATTTATTAACTTGTAGAAAGACTGTATATTGACAAATGCTCAAACTGAGATATTGCCACTTGAAACATGTATGGAAGTACTCTTACATCAGCTCTGTGTGGATGTATTCTCATCTGCCCACCATGTGGGAGATCTCAGTACTTGGCTAGGAAAGAGATTCTGGGTGACATATGGATTGTAATACACAGGGATACTGTTAGGATGTTATGTTTCCATTCTGCATCAAAAGTGATTTAGCCCTGCCTTCATTTCTAGTTTATACATCATAAATAACTTTCAATTCTGCAATAAAATTACAGTTTACATTCAGGACTCTCTACCTTGCCATTGCCTGGACATGCTTTCTAATGCGAGTTGAAGATGTCTTGCTTTGGAAATATGTATGATGGAAAGCAGAAGGGTAAATTATTATTTGCATTTCACCTGTTCTATATAGCTATGATTGCATCATTGATGATATATACAAGTTAGTGCTCTTGCCCATTCAAAATTCCAGCTCCTGTAACAACTTCTCTGCTTAGAGTTTCACCTTCTCTGGTAGGCCTGTAGAGGTAGAAGTGAAATTAGCCTTCCCACTAATTGTGATATACAGGTAAGAAAAATCACACTAGGATTTCACACTACTTCATACTGTCACATACTGATGATTTTAAATCACAATGTCAGCACTGCTAGTGCTAATCTGATAAACCTGCTCTTTGCAGTCTACAAGAGGATAATCAGTTCCTCCCTACAGAGAGAAGCTTGAGTTCAGAGGAAAGGGAGATGGCTTTCAAATGTGCGTAGCAAGTCTATAATTTCTGTCTTATTCTAGAGCTGTCACCATTTTCAAGACAATACAGCTTGCACACAAAAACTGACTGAATACTCTAAGCATTGCTAGTTACCTGACTATGCAAATGTGTGTAAAGTTCTGTTTCACTGTGTTGCCTACAACATTTGTGAAAATAGCTTCACTAATGCACCATTTCTATACCAGCATCTGCACAAGCATATCACATCTAAAAGCTTAAATGTCCTCTGCCACTAACCTACAGAATGTGTTAATTCATTTACTCTCAGCTGGAAGCAATCAGTGACGTGCAAAGGCATCCTCTTTTGTCTCTCAGAAATGGGCTGAGTTGAACTGACAAAAGCCGAGCAGGCAGATGGCACATAGGGGAGGGCAAAGCACGCTGATAAAGCTTGTAAAAGTCTGCCCTGGGGTTGGTTTGGCTTAGAATCCGTTACAACAATCTGAAGCAGAAGATGGGAAAATCAAAATACAAGGATGCTAGAGAAGGATTTGTAATTTTGAGGCTTCTCAAGTTTAGCTATATTTGCCATTTACTGGCATGGAAGCTACAGAAGATTCTGAAATTCTTTTTGAAATGCTGGAAAATGCATGGAAGATATCTGTTGTGCAAGTTGGTTTGCCTTGTGAATGTAGACAGCATGGCCCTTCAGCATAAAGAAAGCATTTCTCGGTGAAAAAGGAATTCTGCTGTTTTCTTGGCACAGAGCAGCTGAGGAAACTCAGCTAGAGTTCCTGAGAGACAATGTTGGGCTGAGGGCAGCCCCAACAACATCTTTGTACAAAAGCTCTCAGAACTGCGAGGTTCCCAGTGCTCCCATCTTCCAGCCCTGATACGGGATCCATATCTAACAGCTGAAGATCACATAGCTAAACTCCATGGGCTGCTGCAAAACTTGTGCATTGGTGAGAAATCTGACGTAAAACTACCTAGGTATTTAGATGTATAAACATTTTCCCCCAGCCAAACTTTAGAACTTCATTAACTGGATTGCTGGTCTGCTGATGTACACTTTGGGGAAAGTTCTGCTGCAGCCAGTCTGGCACTGAGCAAGTGAGGCTTCTTCCCTGCAAAAAAGGGCTATTAGCACAAAGGCTGATGCATAAAAATTAGTTATGTGCTATTCCTAGGGTTGGCAGTATGAGTAATTGGAGTATGAACAGAAGGTTCAGGCTTGGTAGGCATGATTCATGTAATCCTGCTGGAGTCTGCAGAGGTTGGTGTCTTAACTGAATCACAGCAGCTTCTGGAGTTATTGCTGTTCTTCTTGCCTAAGACAAGGATGGGAGCATTACACAGCCTTGCACTCTTTTCTCAAGCAGACTGATAAAGCCTTGACTTCAAATCTGCAGGGCTCACATTAAGACAAGCATGGCTAGTGAACAGCAGGATTCAAATACTTTTCTGATTACATAAATCAATAACGCTGTTGTCAGCTGCTGTGGGTTACTGATATTTCATTTGGTATTGATGAAGGCAGACAAGTTTTTTACAGCTAATTGAAGATGTCACCTTTATTAGTAGAAGAAAAAAAAAAGATATTGCTTTTCTATGTTTAAGCTTTACAAAATGAATGAAAATTGGCAGCATTCCTTTCTGCTGCTTCAGTTCTTCATTTCAACACCTGACAGCGGAGAGAGTGGTCAGGTGCTGTAACAGGTTGTCCACAGAGATTGTGGGTGCCCCAGCTCTGAAAGTGATTGAGGCCAGGATGGATGGAACGCTGGGCATCTGATCTAGGACTGGATCTAGCAGCTGGCAGCCCTGCCTGTGATAGGCAGGTTAGAACCTGGTGATCCTTGAGTCCCTTCTAACCTGAGCCATTCTGTGACTCTATTATTCGATTTAATAAAAGAAAACTTGAATCTGTTGAAACCAGCATTAATCCTGCCACTGCCTTCCAGAGGGATTACATTTCAGCACTGGGGTATATATTTTTAAGTGTAAGTTCAAAACAAGTAGGAGAACACATTTGGCATGCAGTAGACAGAAACTGTCTGTAAGCTGTGTTCCATGCACAGTATAATGTAATATATACTGCCTGTATGCATGCAAGTATGCAAGTCCAATTTTGTTGGTTTTTTTTCAGTAACTCATTAAATTACATGTGCTAATTAACAGAAATATAGTCTCTTCCTGACAGCTTCTACTTGCACTGCCTGAGGGAGCAAAAGCACCCCTTGGAAGTTCTAATTCTCCAAACTAAACTGAATCAAACACAAATTCTGGTCACACGACATTTGGGCCACCAGAAGCCAGGCAGGCCAGGTCTGTGTTACAGGCTGGGATCCTGCTCCAGGGCCTCTCCAAGCCTTGGACTTACTGCATCCCACTGAGGAACAAGTGCAGAATAGAGAGGGAAGGTGGTGTGCCTCGTGGAGAACTGAGCTTGTTCAACTCCCTGTGTCAGCTGTAGGTGCTGAGAACTCAGTACCAAACTCAGTAATGGAAAACGGCTGCTAATGATGGTCCAATTGCCTCTACTAGCCAATGCCTTGATTAAAGTTCCATTTTCTAAATTATAAACATTTGTGCTGAAGCTCAGAATTGGTATGCTCTTCAGAAACACTCATACTAACAAGCAGTTGAGGCTGTAATATATTTACAGAATCATCTTTCAATGGACAATAGTTAAACAGCAGAGACAGAACGCACACGGTTTTTAAAAATAACTGAAATCTAACCACACAGCCGTACACTCTTTTTCATCTCACACCAATAAGGTATGTGCGTCCAAATACGAGATCAGGGTGAGCAAAGCTACGGCATGCAAGGACCTTGCGAAGGCAGCAGAGGTGAGGCTGTCCCGCGTCTCCCACACGCACTTCTCGCAAAGACCTTTCGGCGAGTTTCGATGCGTGCGGCAGCCCTGGCCGTGGACGCGGCTGGGAGCAGCCCCTTCGCTCCGGGCCCGCTTTTTCCTTCGTTCCCTGCGGGCCATCGGGCGCAGATCCATCGGCCGGGCAGGAACGCGCCGCTCGAAGCCCGGAGGGGCCGGGCGGGAGGCGCGGCGCGGCGCGGTGCCGGACAGCGGGGCGAGGGCCTCGGGGACCGCGGGGCGGGCGCGCCGCCGCCGCCGTGAGCGGTGCCTCCGCTCGGGCGGCTCCTGGCGGCGGCGGCGCTGCGAGCCCCTCTCGGCCGGCGGGGACGGCGGCGGCGGGGCCCGATGGCGAGACCGGGTGCTGCCTGCCAGCCGCCCGCCCGCCGTGTGATGGTGGCCGCGCGGGCGCTGCTTTTCTGGGCGCTGGTGTACAGCTACTGCGGAGTATGCGCCTGCATCGCCGGGCTGCGGCTGCTATGGAGCATTGGCCGGCGACCGGGCGAGACCTTCCGCTGGGTGATGCGGGAGAACCCCCCCGCCTGCCTCAACGACCCCTCCCTGGGCACCCACTGCTACGTCCGGATCAAGGTGAAGGCTGGGGTCGGGGGGAGCGGGCCTCGCCGTGCGCACCCGTGCTCCCGTGCACGCGTCTCGGCTGCGTGCGCGCCCGCCCGCCGGTGCATGCCTGTACACGGGCACCCGTGCGTGCTCCCCTCCGGCGGTTCCCCTGCGGGTTCGCCCCGCCGCACGCACGCACAAGGAGCCGCTGCCCCGGGGGCGCCGCGGGAGGACCCCGGGCCGGGCAGCGCTGCCCGTGGGGTGCGGCCCCGCGGCCTCGCGGCGGAGCTGCAGGGGGAGCGCGGAGTGAGGCGCTTAGCCCCATCCCTGAGGCTGCGCGGTTACGGCCCGCAGGGTTGTTAAGAGACTGCTCTGGGTCTCTGCCTGCGATCTGCTCCTCCGGGAACTGCCCGGAAAGAAGTTGTTTTAGCTCGGTTTCTTCTGCAGCTGTAGGTGAGCGCTGCGATTTTCATAGCGCTATTTTTAATTGAAT